AAGAAATAAATGAATGACAATTGTACACTAAAACAAGTGAATATATATATTAAAAATATTATCAGCTATTTTAAAAAGAGAAATAAAATATTAAAATCAAAATACTCTAAAGACTTTTTTAAATTTTTAAAAATTAAAAATAAAAATAATTTTTAAAAACTTAAATTGATGAATAAATTTTTATAATTTATTATTTTTAAAAATAAAAAAGTATATTTAAAAAGAGAAACAATATGATATTAGTATTTTATTTATTTGAGCTATATATATATTATTTAAATAAGTCTTTGTTGAATTGATTTGCAATAAAAAATTGTATGTCTTTGCTTATGAAAAAAATATTTAAATTTATTTATTATTTTGAATAAATTAAATTTAAATTTCAAAATTTTAAAATATGACATTTAAATTTGAATTGTTTATCAATTAATTGTTATTATTTATTTATTTTTCAAAATATTTTTAATTTTTGACAAGTTAACCCATGGTATATTGTACGTTAGAAATCTTTATGTAATATATAAATAATTGAATTTAGATTTTTTATTTAGGTAGTCAACTTGTAGTAATTTAATTTATTTTTTTTACATTAGTTTGTACCAACAAAATTCTTCTTTCATCATCATTATTCCAAATAAGACTACGCCAATTTGTTTTACTTTTTGTTCTTCTCTTTCTTATATGATTAGGTAGTATTTTTTTAAGTTCAGTACAGTACCTAAATAGAGTCTAAATAACTCCATTTAGGGATAGGTGATGTAAATAGAGTAAATCATTCCATGGGTCATGTAAGTCAACAATTTTGATTTTTTTTTATTAAAAATTCATCCAAAATCAATTTTGAATTTAATTTAGTATGTTGTGTTAGTATACAGTGTATACCAACATAATATTCCACTACCTTAAAAAAAGTAATAATAATGTGAATTATTAATTTAAAAAATATAAAATAAATGACAGGTGCAAATGTTAGCTTTGATACATTTTATAATATTAAATTCAAATGTCTTTATCAATATTTATAATTGTATCTATGAAAAAATAAAAAACTTTATGATTCAAATAAACTTGGTTTTTAATTGATTTTAAAAATAAAATAATAAATATTATTAATTATTAATTAATTAAGTGAAAGTTTCAATTTCAAATACAAGAATAATAAAATTTTAAATTTTAAAAAATAGGTCATTGTTTAAGGGATTTCTCCTTTTTTATATATATAAAGAGATAATTTACGATCGACAAGGACAAATTCCCAAAGGACTGCTTGTAACTACACGAGGCTGTGTTATGAATGATTGAAGTTCAGCATTGAAATTGACATGACACCATAATGAAGGGAAAGAAGACTCTTTTGGATGTGTGTTTCACAACACAGTTGCTATTGATGGAAGAAAAACAGAGGAAATGAAGTTACCTTTGGAACAATGGTGTGGAGGTTAGGTGCGGCCCATGTGCAAGGATAATGAACAAGTAAACAGAAAATTATATTCAACTAATAAATGTCTCTTGCACTTAAAGGAATCTCTTAAACTAGACAAATTAAATTTAAAACCTAAATATATATATTATTACTTTTGTATACTGAAATTTTCATTTGCTCCTAAATAAACTTTAAATTAATGAATAGCAGTAGATTGCAATATTTTTGGTAAAATTTTAACTTTATTGCAAGAAATTGGCCTGAACAAGACCACTGCCCCTCACCACTAGCTGCATGCTTGCAGCTTTCCAAACACACTATTACCACTGTGAAAGAGTTGCAAATAATGAAGCAGTTACATATACATGGTGGAATTTATAGAAATAAAGTAACAACATGTTTTGATTATTTATGGAAAGATTTTGATGATCAGATAGCAATAAGGTTTGGCGTTTCAAATTTTTATGGAAAACTACTAAAATGAGAGGACATTAGGACTTACAAAACCATATGTAGCTACTTGGTATTACAAAGTTGATAAGTTGGCTGCAGCTTAGAACAAATTATTGTCTTTTAAATTATAGTGACACAATGATTATTACAATTGATGAAATGATATCTTCAATTATTTTCAAGCTTAATAATATCGAATAAAAATAATTCTAGTTTCTACCATTGTCTCTCAATTCTCTCTGTTTACATCATTACACAATTTTCTAGTTTCGTCCTCTTTCTCATGTACCATCAACCTTATATCATTTTCTTTCCCATCATTTTTTATATAATCAATTTGTCACACTCAGATAACTCTTATTTTAGTCTAAAATCGGTCAAGTCCAATTATCTCCTCCTATATATAGTCTTGCATAAGATTGTATACGTTCCCAACTTTCATGGCAAATTGCTATCCATCAGTGCCATATTGCAAAATTCTTATTATTCAATTATTTATCTGATTCATCTTTACTGATCCATGACTTGCAACAGTTGAAGATGATCAGCAAAGGTAAGCTGAATGAATGAAGACCTTTACTTCCTTGACACTTTCAAGCTTGTTGCAAGAAAGATAAAACAAACTAGCTTTATTATTGATTAGAAAATGCGAAATGTAATCAATTCTAATAATTTAATAAAATCTTATTATTGGTTTTTGAGTGAATGCCAAAAATGAAAAATAGGAAGCCTGATCTCCTAAAGCACTGGAGGAACACATGTCATTTGTGGGTTCGAGTAAGAAGTGTATATTTTGCACAAATAAGCTGCATGAGTTGTGTGGCTGTGTAAGAAGTGTTTTTTATGCACAAATAAATGCCCTGCATGTCATGCAGTTTTATTTATCACCACTTTGTTCTCTTCCTTGTGCTGTATTCAGTTGAATGCTTAACTTCTGCATAAGATCTTTGTTCTGCTCATAGTGGTTGGTGCTGATTGCTAAATGTTGGGGGTCTTCTAGAAAGGAACTGACAAACATTGAATGCCAAAATTAAGGTCAATGCTTGCTGGGCAAAAAAATATTATAAAATATCAAATAAAATGACAAACATTGAAGCTCAATATGGACTAGAGTGGTCCATTTTTTAAAACGGATGTGGGCTAATCCAAACCTAATGCATCAACAGGAAAGTTAAAGTAGAATGTTCCAGAATTTATTCCCCAAAATATAATGGCCCAGTGGCATAGCACACAAGCTTTTGATTATTTATAAAATAATGTTTATTATTTTTTATTTACACTTCAAAATTTTCCTCTCGTTTAATATGTCAAATATTAAAAATAAAAATAAAAATCAATAAGCAGAAGAGATAATGTAAACAAGATGCTTGGACTTGATTGATGGTATTTATCTCAACTATCCCTGACGCAATGTCAAGTGTGAACGACAAATGTAGGTGTTCCTCTTGTATATATTAAGCTTATCTCATTGAACAAGAATATATATATGCTAGCTTGTGACAAAGAATGAAGGGCCAGATTTCTAATATGATTTATTACTAAATTGTACCCCCACTTCAGCTAACTAAACACACGTCGTTTGTACCCACAGAGAAAAGGCCAAAACAGATGTTGAGCCAAGGCATGATGTGTGTAGTATATGGCAGTGGATTTCACATTATTTTTAGTTTCCAACTCTTTTTTTAAATAAGATTATCAAGAATAAAAGTTTTCAAATAATTATAAATATTTTAATTAAAATACCTTGAAAACTCTCAACTCTAATGCCAGTGTGCCCAACCCATGTACTGACTTTTGCGTAGGATCTCATTCTTATTTGATAATGAAATTCTCACTCACCAATCTTTTTCTACGCTCTTGAAAAGTTATTGTATATTTAAATTGACATTTAAATATTTATGAATTTATGTTTACTTTAATATTATTAATTATAATTTTATATTAAATTTAAGTTTATAGAATTTTTAAATTTTTTCTATTTGACCAATAGCATAAACAGCTTTCATTCATCGTTTCAATGGATTATAGAAAAAGCTAAGAATATTTATTTATTTTAATTATTATAACACTAACACTAACACTAACACTAACACTAGTATCACTTGAGCTTTTCCCAAACTCCTCCACATCACCAAGCACTATTTTGGGACCCCACTTTACACGTATGAGAATACTACCTTCAAATTTCTTATTGCATTATTAGTTGATTTGGCCTAAAGACAACAAAAGCCTGCATAGCATAGGGATAGTAGCAGCAGATAAAGTGGAAACCACATAGACTCCATCGCCATTTAATCGTCCATAATATGATATGTCATCCATTTTTTAAAGAGAAAGAAAGAGAGTTTGAAATGAAGATCGAAGCAGTAGGCTTGATACTTAAATTCAATGTTAAAAAATAAAAAATAAAAAATTAACCACTTTTTAAAAATTATTTTACCAACAATAAACATATCAATTAAAATATTGTTTCGGAAATCATTTATAATTATTTTATTACATTTGATATTGATGTAGGAAATTTGAACATTGATTAAAGTAATTATGAAAATTAAAAATCTCATTTAATTGAAAAAAAATTATAAATATAAATATAAAAAATAGCATATCAATATATTATCCATGGGCTGCACCTATAAAAAAAGGAATGGAATCCAAGTGTAAATGCAGCATAAGCAGCACATGCTAAATTGAGAATATAGAATATTCCCTTAACTAGTGGCAGTGGATTTCACGCGTGGGCAACGCAATTTAATTACCCTCGAATATTCGCTCCAGTGATCTCATGTTTCACGACATAAACCAATCACACCCTCTTTAAACCCTCCGATTATATGACTCCTCGAATGTTCATCACATCCAACGGTTCTAATGAGATTTAATTTCCGTTAGGAAATAACAATAAAAATGTATTCCATCGGAATTGGAATTTAAACCTTTGTTTATGGGTTCGTTAGGCTTCACGTTCACGCTCAGCATTCACTACAAATACCATCTTTCCATTGAATGCAACTAAGACACGATTCTGAGAGCCGACAGCCAATAAGAATCTGATTCTCGGAAAACAGAGACTAAATATTTGGGGACATTGGGAATTTGTACATTCTCATTGATTGTTCCTATAATGGCTGGAATTGTTGTGGTTTTCGACTTCGACAAGACCATCATCGACTGTGATAGTGATAATTGGGTTGTTGACGAATTGGGCTTCAACGATTTGTTCAATCAGCTCCATCCCACCATGCCGTGGAACACTCTCATGGTAAGATTTTCATTTGCTCAGGATGTGTTTCTGCATGCAATACCATAATTCATTAGTTTTCTCCTTTCGGAAAATGTTAGGTTTGGTCGTTTTGAAAGATGTTAGATGACAAACAATTAAAAATATAAAATTTACTAAAAAAATGTGTATCACTCCGACAATTCAAATGCTATGTTTTTTAATAAAAAATTACTATTTTTAAATGTTTAAATTAACGATACAATGAATATTTTCCTTCTCATTATGGGATTTTTTGAAGAATGTTTCATTTATATCTTACTATCTATCTGCATTGTGTCAATGACATAAACACCTTAGGTTTTTATTTTTGGGTTTGGGTTTATAGGATAGGATGATGATGGAGCTTCATTTGCATGGAAAAACCAATGAGGAGATTGAGCAAGTTCTGCAGAGGATTCCTATACATCCCAGAGTAATCCCTTCCATTAAAGGTGCCCATGCTTTAGGGTATGCATTTCTTTCCTTTATTTTGTTTTATTTCATTTTCCTATAGATAAAGTATAGTCTTTTTTCTTAAAAGTTTTTTTACTTTTAAAAATAATTTTGGGGTGGAAGAAATATATGGTGGCATTTGTGATTTTCAGGTGTGATTTGAGGATTGTAAGCGATGCAAACACGTTCTTCATCGAGACAATTTTGAAGCACTTAGGAATAAGGGAATGTTTCTCAGAGATTAACACTAACCCAGGTTATTTTAATGAAGAGGGAAGGCTAAGAATTTTGTCATACCATGACTCCAAAAAGTCTCCCCATGGCTGCTGCCTCTGCCCTCCGAATATGTGCAAGGTCTATATATTTCATACATCCTTTACTTATTACCATTAAAATATCTTTTCAGTAAAAATTATCTTGAATTAAAAAAAGAGTAATTTTTACAATACTTTTAAAAATGAAGAAATATTTTGTATACGTAAAATAATCATAACTATTAATAAATATTTAAAAAAATTATAAATATTCTTTAATATTTTGGTATAAAAAAATATTTAATATCACAATTTAGAGTACTGTATCAAATATCTTAAAAAAATTGTAAAAATTTACCTCAGATTGATTCAAATTCAATGATCATATGATATATAACAGCACGAATTTCTAGAAATTTTCATGTCCATGTGCCAAACTTTTTCGTACCAAAACCCATGATTCATGGATAATTTGTAGATTCATGCATAATTTGTAGCAATCTCTTCACACTAAATAAAAAAACTCAATATGGGTGCTCACTCGAGTCAATGAGTTTGCCTTTACTGAAAAAAAAAAAAAAGGGCTGACCAATAAACACCTTTGGATGTTTCTTACGTCTCTGATTTGTGCCCTCTATTTATTTAATGATTTTGATCAATATTAAAGATATATAAAAAAAAGCGTAACAACAAACTTTTTGAGGCCATTGTTATCTATGATGGTAAAAAAAATAAAAATAAAAATGATTAATGAAGATTTTTAAAGTGATTACAAGATTACTTTATAGTATATTTGGTTAATTCTATTAAATTTTTTTTTCCCATTACAGGGTCTAATCATAGATAAAATCCAAGACTCAATACTATGTTCAGGAGAAAAGAAGAGGTTCATCTATCTTGGGGATGGTAGTGCGGACTACTGCCCGAGCTTGAGGCTCAAAGACCTTGACTTTGTTATGCCAAGAAAGGACTTTCCGGTGTGGGACTTAATATGCAAAGACCCTTTGCATATTAAAGCTGAAATTCATGAATGGAGCGACGGAGAAGAGCTAGAACGAACTTTGCTGCACCTAATCAACAAAATTTCTTTGGAAGAAAGTGCTCAGTTTATTTCAGCCGATTGCAAGCTTCAAACTATATCTGCCTCTGCTCATGAAGCTTTTCCTCAAGCTCTACCAGTTCGGCAAAGATAACCATTTAATATCTTTGGAAATGTAACATGCCTCAAAGCTAGTTTTTTTCCTTCTTTTCTTCTCTCTCTTGCACCTGAATTGAAGTTCCTAAAGTTTTCAATATTAAACACAAACATCAGTTCGCTCCAAATTCTTAATGTTGTTCTCTTTAGCATATATGCCTCTAAACTCTATTTATATTGGCTTAGTATTAGTGAATAACCACTATGTCGATTTGGTGAATAGAGAGAAGAAAAACAAATTGACATTAAAAAACAAAAAGTTTTTAAAAAATTAATTCAAATTTCAAAATCTCTAGATTCATGTTTTTTCACCGAATAAATAAAATATAAGCATGAAAAGCCCACACATGTATAATCTGATATTTAAATGCTGATAATTTGCGAAGAGCTCATTGCTCTTTATAAGGATGGGCTAGCTTTCTGCACAAGTACAGCCTTATTGAATTTTTTTTATGATTGCAAGATAGATGGACCGAGGGGCCAAACGGCCCAGGCCCAAGAATCAGATTCAATAGAACTGGCCCGGACACACAGGAGCAAATCTAGGCTGAATACAGAGAATGGACAAAAATGAAGCACTGAGAGAAACAGAAACACCTCTTAAATTATGGACCTAATTAATCTTTATTTGGGTATTAATAAATTTATCAATTATAAAAGGGTTTCTTGACAGTGGAAAGAGAAAATTTATATCGCATCATATCATATAAACAACAAAAAGCACATAATAGTAGCATGAGCGCTAACCATTGGTTGAAGGCCCTTTAGCCATCAATAATTATATTTAACTCGTGGATATAATCTTGTCACGTCTCTAACATTTTAATGAATGACTGAAACATTGATTTTTATTTGATTATGACCTTTTTCAACTAAACAGCTTTTTTTTCATTACATATATTCTCTAATATAATTACTTTTGCTAGATTATTTGTTGATTGGTTGGTTGGTTGCTAGAATGTTTGGGTTCCTAATCAAAGAAGAGGATAAGGGGAGGTGGTATTAGTCAAACGGGTTTGTGAATAGACATGTGCAAACTAAGTTTTATTCCAATTGGAAAAAAAATTATAATCCTCTTCTTTTAGATTATGTTTGGATATAGAGAAAAATAAAAATAAAAGAAGTATGAAAGAAAAAAAAAGTAAAATTGAGTTGTATTTTTTTTTTTATCTGTATAGAAAAGTAAAAAGAAAAAGTAAATTTTATAGATATTGATGCCTTAGTATCCACACTTTGAAACAAGTCTAAAAGGGTAATATTGGAAAAATAAAAATGGAGAATATGTTCTAAATCTTTTGATAGAAGGCGAAACTTATTTTACGAGATTCTCTACATTTTCTTATATCGCTCATTTGTTTCTTAACATTTTAAATGATAAAGGTTTAACTTATTCACTCTGATTTTCTCTTACCCACTTATCTTAAGTCTTTTTTCCTTTCAAAACAAAGTATTTGTTCTATCTCTTAACTTGCTCTTAGAAGCTTTATTTGTTTATTTTATCAAAACTGAATTAAACTAGTTAAAATATATTTTATATTATATAAACGAACCGAACAAACATAAAGTTTTGAATGAAACCAAGCAAACTTGAGTGTCTAAATCAAATAAATCCGATTGGTTAAAATCAATAATTAAGCCTTCGAAATGAAATAATAATTATTCATTAAATAATATTCTTTGTAAAATATAATGCTTGTTATTCCTTTTTTTGAAGCCTCAGTGCAAAAGATATTTGTTATCTTAAAATCCTTGGAATTGAAATAATGAAAAGTATAATATTTATTCAATCAGCATTGTAATACTCATTGGAATCCAAAAATCCCATCTATCATGATGATAGCTTACTTGCCTATAAATACCCTCTGTTTGTTCTATGGTCACATTCATATGCATTTGCATGCTCACACATATCTAATCACCTCAACATTAGCTTTTGTGCATTTAATGGCTGGGATGGTAGTGATTTTTGACTTTGACTCAACAATCATTGAGTGTGATAGTGATAATTGGGTACTTGATGAGTTTGGTTTAACTGAAGAGTTCTATCAGCTTCTTCCTAGCATGCCTTGGAATCCCCTCATGGTTTTTTTTCCCTTCCCTTTCTTTCTTCAGATACAATGTTCTTCTCCTACCTTATTTCTTTCCTGATAGGAAAATTATTTATGTTTGTCCGAAAATTTTACAGGATAGAATGATGAATGAACTTCATTCACAAGGAAAAACCATTGAAAACATTGTACAGGTTCTTAATAGAACTCCAATGCATCCCCACATTGTTCCAGCCATTAAGGCAGCATATTCTCTTGGGTACATCTCTCTCTCACACATACTATTTTTACACTCCCTTTATTACTTGTACGATAACCCTAGAAGGGAGAAAGGTGAATAAATGGAAGAGAAAACAGTTTAAAATTAAATTAAGGGGTTATTTGATTTAAGAAGATGTCTTCTATTTGTTTTTTTTTACCTTTACTTTTAATTATAAAAATATTACAACTTATTGCTTTACTTTTTATTTTAAAGATTTATAAATAGAATAATGGAATTGAAACAATAATTTTCAATGATAGGGTTGAAAATATTTCCTCAAATTAAATGGTTGCTATATAATTATCATGCATGGGTTTGTAATGAAATTTAATTTCCTTCTCTCCAATAATTTTCTTTCTTCTCCCTCCCAAATAAACTCATTCATGTGATCAGATAGTTAGCATGTGCCGTTTTATACTTCGGTTTCCTTAATGAAGATGTTAACGCCTGTGATGGGGCTGTCTGCTTTAGGTGTGAGTTGAAGATTGTGAGCGACGCAAATATTTTCTTTATTGAAACAATATTGAAGTATCATGGGGTGCGGAATTGTTTCTCAGAGGTCATTGCAAATCCTAGTTATGTTGATGAAGAAGGGAGGCTCAGAATTTGCCCCTACCATGATTATCTCAAATCTTCTCATGGATGTAATCTTTGTCCACCAAACATGTGCAAGGCAACTGCACTAGCTCTTACTATCTCTTTATTTACGGCCATATACATTAATATCACATTTAATTATGCACTTTATGAACTATATAGATCTATATTTAATTTACTGATTCTATATTTTGTTGATGAGCAATTTTGGGTCAGTTTTTCTTTTAACAATATATTTAATTTATTGAATTATTGCACTGTCTTTGTCATTGAACACACGTCAGGCACCACTTTTCTTGTCTATGTCATATATGCCATAATTCAAGGGATCTTGAAAGCAAAAAGACAAAATTATGTTTCATGAACCATGAGCATAATAGAACACATTCTATAATAAGCAAATAACTTTTCACCAAAAATCACTGATTAATTTTTATCAATATTTCTTGCAAAAGTTCAATTTTTTTAAACTTTTTTTTTATTGACATTTTCCTTCTATGGACATTTTTGACTTGTAGGGATTGGTCATAGAAAGTATCCAAAATTCACTTGGTGCCGAAGGAAAGAAGAAATTCATTTATCTTGGAGATGGAAATGGAGACTTTTGCCCTAGTTTGAAGCTCAAAGATGGAGATTATTTGATGCCTAGAATGAACTTTCCATTGTGTGATTTAGTATCTAAAAACTCTAATCTCATAAAGGCAGAGGTACATGCATGGAGAGACGGGGAAGAGCTTGAGCATGTTCTTCTCCATATTATCAACAAAGCTATTGGTGAAGGAAACAGCACTAGTAGTTCTATTCCAACAATATCAGTTGATTGCAAGTCGGGGCCAATTTCAATTGATGCTCATATACCTTTTCCTAAGGCCCTCCCAGTTCCTCAATAACTAGTAACAAAAATTGCTAAGGAACTATTATATTTCTACTGGCTTGTCAACTATATGCACTGCAACTTTCTTAGCTTTTGCAAAAAAAATGTATGAGGCTTTGACCTAGTTATTATTGGTAATAAAATAACAAATGAAGCCTATTGTTTTGAATAAAAGCATAAAAGTGATATATCTTGGTTTCAATTGTCAAGTTCGAACTTTGGTCGTTTAACAAGCATTTCATGTGAGTTATTAAGTTGGGTAGAATTAAACACTGTTAACTCACATTAATATGTAATCTTATTATGAAAGTGAAGATATCAAGCACTCAATATTAAATGTATGCTTCGGCAATTGTTGGAGTCACTTTCGAGCATGGTATATTTTGCAAGAAATAAGGCATGGTCAATGGCTCACAATGTTCGTGCAAATGCAAGCTGCATAAATTAGACGAAGATAATTCATTTTAATAACTAATGGAAGCTGTAGAAATTCTACAGCATAAATATGATCAGAATTAATTTGAAGGCATGCATTGTCATGCAAATGTCTCTTATTTACTCACGGTAATTGTTTTATTTTACCCCTGACTTTATAAAAGAAAACTAAATTTAATTGTGGGTAAAGTTGAGGTCGATTTTTTCTCAATATATAAATAGAAAAAAATAAAAATAAAAATAAAAATAAAAATAAATCGTTTAATTCACCCCTATATTGATAATAACTAATCCTAATGATAATTAAATTATTTGTACTAACAATATGATTTAGTTTATATATTTTTCATGTTTATAAAGTTATAATCCCTTATTTTATGTATTATTTAATTTAAAATATATTTAATATATGATTTATTCCAACTATGAGTTTCAGAAAAATTAAGAAATGGACAAGGATGGGTTCCCTTGATCCTGAAAAGAGTGACATTGAGTATCATTTATCTCCAAATAGGTATAAACTTAAAGAGGATGAGTTAAGGACAGAGAGTAGACGTAGAAAGTAAAAATCATATCCATTAACATCTGTTTATTTCAGCACAACTTTGATAGAGAGAATCTAATTTTCTTGAATTCGGGAACTGCAAGTTTTCCGCAATGTATAATTTAGAGGGGTGGGTAGGTTTCAAAATATAGTTTCCTACTTCAAAACCCAACCCTACCTCTTAATAACTATATTATACTTCAAAATAAATTTTATTCTTCTTGAGAGATATTTAATTATTTTTTTTATTTTAAAATATACACTGTCATAATCTATTTTTATTGTTTGGCATTCCCGCCAAACATATATGCTTACGTTTTATTTGATTGGAATAAGAAAAATATAAAAAAAATGAAATTTTCATTAAAAAAAATTGAAGTCTTTTACTACACAAATATTTTTAGCTCTTTCTCTATTATTTTTTAAAAGGAAAGACAAAAAATAAGGATGTATAAAAAAGACATTTTCTTTCCTCCATTTCTATTAACAAATAAATCATTATAATAAACAAAGTGAGCTAGGAAGTGCTTCCCTTTGCAATTCTCTTGATTTGAGACAAGCAAACAATCTTTTTGAGGCAGTCAAGTCAAGATTGTGGTCAATATTTAACTAAAAATTCGACCTCACTTTTTCCCTATCACCATGCCCGTCCATTATCATGAATTTTGTCACTTTCTATGCTTTCCCACAAAAATATTGAAATTGGTTTGAGTAGTTGTTTAAAGTAGACATGCAATTGAATCAAGAAAAGTTATGTGCCTCTATGCAAATGCATCAATTTACCTTATATGCTTACCGTGCCATGCACTAAACCTCCTTTTTTCTTGCTTTTCTACAGAATGCAGGTGTGGTTGGATCTCACCTAAGAAAAGAGAAAGCAAGAAATTAGTGCTGCATGATTGGGTATTGCTTAGTTTTTTAAGAAATAATAATTTTTAAACTTATTACAAAAGTTAATAACAATTTTTAAAAATATAATTTTGTTATTACATAAAACTTTTAGACGATCCATTAAATAAATTATGTCTTACTTTTTATTTATCAAAATCTACATAAAATATATCTAATAACAATAATAATGTATTGTTACTATTTTTCTCTGTTTTAAAAGCTGTAAAAAAAAAATATCTGCCACTCAATGCTTCTCCTTTATTGTCCAAATATTTCATTCTATGCTATTCCTTCAAAAAACTTTTTTCTAATGAAATTAATACACGTTTGTTTTAATTCTTTTGCAGATAACCACTATAATATATTTCCGCAATAACTATTTTATAATTAAAACACAATGAACTTGTTGTGGTTGCAATTTCTAACAGGTAGCATAGAATGCGTCAAAAGGTGAATTGCATAAATACTTTGTCATCTATCATTGTGCAAGATGCTTCCTCATTAATCAGCACCAAAAGCTTTAAAAAACCAATTTAATATCCCACCATTAGACTATAATACCGACATTAATTTTCTCAAAATATATTTTTTTTAAATATTTTTTTTCCACTTTCCCTCTCTTTCATTTATATAAACACTATTTTATATCGTAATGCCAAAGACAAAATCAGCAGTAGTTTCTTCCGTTCTTTTTTTTGGGTCAAAATTTGGGTCATTCAAACAAAGGAAACAGAAACAGGCCCAAGTAGCCTATGCTATATGCATAGTTTGGGTTCCTCCGTCCGATTCAAATTAAAGTTCGGCCAAAGCAAAAGTTCTAATTGATGTTCTGAAATTTAAAGCCCAGTAGTTTTGTCATCTCTGAAAGATCTTGTATGCCATATGTGGGACGATGTGTATTGACGTGTGGGTGCTTCTCTTTCCTCGTTTTAGGTTCACATGCATGCTCCACAAGATGTAAATTTATTGAAGTCAAGAATATTCAAAGTATGATAGAACTCTTTCAGTAATTTTTCTTTTCTATACATGACTCAAACTGAAGATGTTACTTAAGAGAAGTTAAACATGTACTACCTAGTTAATTAATTTGCTTATTTTGTTCTAATAAAGAAATGTATTTAGTGCACTTTAGCTCCTTGTTCAATGACCAATTGGATACATTAAGAATGGCTCCTTAAATGATCAACAAAAAAGGGGCTCCTTAAAAGAAACCTGCATTATTTTTTAAAACAGCAATAACATGAAGAATGAATGCAACCAAAATTTAGTGGAAAAGTAAAAAAGAACAATCAGGTTGGTTAAGGGACATTAGTCAACATGTTCGATGTGTTTGTTCAGAGAAATGTTTTTGTGGTAGCACCTGAGTCTGCAGCAAATTCACACAGTACATAATAGGAGAATGAGGTCTAAAGCAAAAATTAAACCCCCAAAAGAAAAAAAGAGAGGAAAAGGATATACCATATTTAGATGTCATAATGGAGTGGAATCAGAATATTTTATAATTATAATAAACAGACAAGGTTTGATGTCAAGTACTGAGTTTACAGTTTGTAAAGAGATGGGCAAAATGTTGGATGTTCATGGCCACAATTATGACATGGTTCTTCTCACTTTCTAGTTTCCATGGAATCATTAAGCTCAGAATGGTGACAGACACAAAGCAATATGCAATGCTGGTAGCAATAAAGGCCCTCCTGTGGGGGCTGACCCAATCCCCTCTCCTCTTTTCATAGAACAAGGTAAAACATGGGGATGTACCTTAGCCACCTTGCATGGTAGAAATTGCATGTGGGCACAAATTCCAAGTGCCCCACCCCATCATGGCTTGCATTATTGAGCCTGTGAAGCACTTGAGCACAAACTGTTAAGCCTGGATTTTCTTTCTTTTTTGAGTTGTTGGATTTTGTATAAGTAGGTTTGTGGCTTAAAAGATGATTGGCAATAATCCTTGAGCTGTCTAGTACAGTTGTAGGACCATTGCATTTGCATGTGAGTTTTTGCTCATGGCTCAACGGATAAGATATCTCTCACAATCCTACTCCTAACACACACACACCCTCTCCCTCACTCTACTGCTCCACCTTTTTTATTTCATGCCCCCCTTCAAGGGTATTGCCTAATTTAGAAAAAGCATAATACTAGAATGAGCTAGCATGGAATGTTTTTACTAATTAAACGGTAGCTTTGGAGTATTAATCACTAGCATGTTAGCCACCAATTGAACCAAAAATTACTGCTTTTGTTGGTATTGGTATTAAAATAAAAAGTCATGATTGAAAGCATCATTGCTAATACACTTAAATGTGATCATTTCTGGTCATAGACCATATCTGAAAGCCACTTTACACCTTAATTAGTCTGAGTCGAGTTGTGTAAATTCGCTTAAAATGACAGTTTTTCTTTACTTAATTTTCCTCTTAATTACACAAGAGATGAACTTGAGCCGAAACAATCATACTCTTTCACTTGGATCATCAGGCATTGGTAAATATGAAACTGATATTGCAATAATGTCAAACTACTTATGACCAATAATAATAATTCTTCATGATTATATTCTTGATCTTTACAACGTTAAAGATGGTCACCATGTAGTTTAATATTCGAGGAGATAAATGTATAAAAAACGATAGAAATAGTATTGTTAATTCGACTTTTAGCTACACTTTTTATCCAAAAAAAAAAGTCTATCTGTAAGAAATATTCTGTAAATTTCTTAATCAGAGTATATATCAAAATTCACTACACAAAAACTACTCTCGAGACAGTCTACTTGCCTTTATGATCTGCCAAATTGATAATTAATTCATGATTAGAGTCAAAATTTTCAATTCATGGAATATATATGTTCACTTTAGTTGTTGAGTCCAATTTATGACAGAAATAATTGAAGCAGATCAAAGGATAAAATTTATTTGCAGTATTATTTGTACCTTTAAAGTTATTTCTTAGTTAAAATTGAAATTTTGCTTCAATAATGTAGGCTTATTTATTTTTTTAATATTTTTTAAAAAATAAATTCTTAAAATAATATTTTTTAAAAACATATTCCCTGTCCGAAGTTTTTTTTGCTAGGTTAAGAGTTGTTTCTCATATTGTTTCGACTAAATATTTTTTTTTAATTTTTTAAATGCTATTTCGTCTTC